CCTGCGCTTCCAGGCCGGCCGCGTCGAGTTCGAGAACGTGCACTTCAGCTACGTGGCCGGGTGAGGGGGCGTGGGCAGGCGTGGGGGCGGGCAGGCAAGGGGCCGGGCCCTGCCAGCTGCCCCCAAGGCCTGGACTGACCCCTGCCCGCCCCCAGGAAGGAAATCCTGCAGGACGTGTCCTTCTCGGTGATGCCCGGACAGACACTGGCGCTGGTGAGCGCGGCCCGGGGGGGCCTGGCTGTGGGCGGGGGCTGCTGGGACCAGTCCAGGCCGTGGGGGGGGCCCGGAAACAGGCCTCACCCCTGCTGAGCCACAGCCCGCAGTGCCCTGGGCAGGCAAGGGTTGACCCCCAGGCTGGGGGGCAGGGTAAATCGGCCCCCTCCAGCCCCCAGGGTTTGGCCGTGCCTGCGGGGGTGAGGGCAGCGTCCCTGGCCAGCCGTGACCCTGGCCCTGCTTGGCTCTCCCGTGTCCCCGCGCCAGGTGGGCCCGTCAGGCTCGGGGAAGACAACCGTCCTGCGCTTGCTCTTCCGCTTCTACGACGTGGGCAGCGGCTGCATCCGCATCGACGGCCAGGACATCGCCAAGGTCAGCGCCACCACGGCCGTCCCGGGTTCTCCCGAGCAGGTCTCCCTCCCTCCACCGCCCCGTCGGTGCCAGCCCCAGCCCACAGGTGTCCAACCTCCCCACCCCCCTGAACGGACCCCGGGGCTGGGGGTGCCTGGGCGCAGGCCCGGCTGACGGCCGGCTGCGGGCAGGTGCGCCAGGCGTCGCTGCGCGCCCACGTGGGCGTGGTGCCACAGGACACGGTGCTCTTCAACGACTCCATCGCCAACAACATCCGCTACGGCCGCGTCGGCGCCACCGACCAGGACGTGCAGGCAGCTGCCTGTGCTGCCGACATCCACGACCGCATCCTCTCCTTCCCTGACGGTGAGGCCGGAAGCCCACGGGCGCGGAGCGGGCACCCAGGAGCTGCGCCGGGCTGCGGGTGGCGGAAGCCGGGATGGTGCCCCAAGGGCATTGGGGGAACGCAGCTGAGCGCCACCTCCCTTGCCCACAAGCCCACCCGTGGCAGGGGCACGGTGACGCCCGGCTGTGCCCGCAGGCTACGACACGCAAGTGGGCGAGCGCGGCCTGAAGCTGAGCGGGGGTGAGAAGCAGCGTGTGGCCATCGCCCGCACCCTCCTCAAGGACCCCGGCATCATCCTGCTGGATGAGGTAAGGGTGGCCCCCATCCCCTTCCTGTCAAGCTGTGGCCTGTGCCGGCTGTGCCTGCTCTGTGGCCTGGTGCCACATGACTGCAAGGCCCCTACACGTCCCTGTGGCTCCAGGCAACGTCGGCGCTGGACACAGAGACGGAGCGCAACATCCAGGCATCACTGACCCGGGTCTGCGCCGACCGCACCACCATCGTGGTGGCCCACAGGTGGGTGGGCTGGGACTAGGGTATGGGGTGGCTACCTGCTTCTAGCCTGGCGCGGTGGAGAGCCGAGCGCGGCCTTCCTGGCCCTGGGGTGCAGCACCCGTGGGAGGCTGAGATGCGAGCTCAGGTCGCTGTTGGCATTGGGCTGGGAAAACGGGGGTGCTGCCCCAGTCCTGCCTGGTGTCTGGGGGGAGACACGTCTGCACTTCACGAGCAGGGCAGCCATGGGGGAGATGCCAGGGCTGGGT